TTAGATGTGAAAGCACATCATCTATACTGTTGAACTGTGAAAAGAAATTTGTTTGAAGTAAATATATAGTAATTAACTAACATTCTATACCTATTAATTAGTAGCCTAGTCTCTTTATTAGGCATACTTCTTCATCTTTTTTCCCCCATTTTTATCATTAGTTAAGAGAATATTTTGGAACAAGTGATGAATTAATTAGGCTTCCAAGTACTAGTAATAAAGATGCTAATTGTGTAAAGGGTGCTTCCTTCTTGGGTTTGCAGTACCAATTATAACTTAAGTTCAGTTACAAAAGAAAAGAACAAATGTGTAAACACGTCAATCAGCAATAAACTCCTTTATCCATGGTCCATATTATTAAAAAATTGGGGAGGGGAGGTTAAATGTGGGAGGGTAACCACATTTGCTAGCAGGCTCCTTCCTGATCTCAGTGCATTCATAAAATTGTGTGTCGAGATGTTTCTCTTCTCTACACACGTGCCAGAAACTTCCACATGTTGATTCAGCATTAGATATTATAAAGCAGTCTCTTCTTTCTTATCTCAATATGGAATAATGTAACAATGTCTGAAAGGACATTTAGAGGGGAGTCTTTTACTGAGTACAGATGGTTTGATTACAGATAGTTTAATTAAACAGGATTTTGTTTGTCTGTTTTGATAATTGTCCAGGAAACACAATCTGTTCTCACAAGAAGTTTGCAGAATCAACTAAACTTTCCAACAACATTGTAACTATGAGCCTGTCACGATTTACTAAAGTCTTGTGAAGATTTACGGTGAAGACATACTAAGAACTATGTCAGTGGCTAACCCTTTGATCACTGGGATTCTGTCCAAATGCTGGAAAAAGGAGAGATTGCACAAAGTAAATAAATCTAAAACATAGTAAATGTGTATACTCAGTTCCATCAAAAACTTCATGGAACATTGGACAATTGCAGTAATTTGTGGTTCAACTCCCAAAAGTTGTGGTTGGTGAGGCGGAGGGGGGGAGGAATCCTTGTTAAATGGAAGTTTTGAGACAAATTAAAGGACTTCTCCATACAAATGAGACATTTTCCTCAGAAGGATATTTATGCATCTCTGCTTCCTCTCTATGTTTAGTTGAGTTAGAATGAGGCAATGGCATCCACAGAAATTCTCAGAAAAGCAAGGTATCAGCACAGGACATAAAAATAGATGGGACTTCAATTGTGCAGTGCACAGCTACTATCTTGACTTTAAAATCCTCCTCCCTACTTTTCATATCCCAGCATGCCAGAAGCATCCTGAATCATTACTATCTCAGAAGCTTTCAACAGCATTTCCTATCAGTGGTAGATATTTGTAAGCTAGTGGTTTAAGGCTGAGAACGTTTTAGTTAACACATACAGTCATTCCATGTTTCCTTTTGCAGTGAGTGCTTTATTTAAGGTATTCTTGTTATTTTTAATTATATAAATTACCTGGAAAATAGCAGCATTGATGTTGACTATAGCTCAGTGCAAGATTAATGAGGATTTGTTTTTCCTCTGCCTAAAACAAGAAAAGGGTTTAAAAATGAGTAAATGGTGTAGATTTGCAAGAAGAACATCTAGCTTGCTTAAAATATATTTTTCTTTCAATGTGCTTAACAACATCAATAAACAATCCCCTTTTAACCTTAGGCTTTTGACAACTAACATGAGTCAAAGTGGGGCTTTTTTTAAAAAAGCTTTTGGATATTCTCATCTTGGCTCTTTCAGCTATTTTGTCTATCTAGTGATTATAAGGTAATAACAACAACAATACAGATAGTCCTCATCTAGCAACCACAATTGGGATCAACATCTAGTTGTTCAGTGAAGTGATAGCTAAATTAAAATGCAACTGAGTTTATAATGTTACTTCAGCTTTCCTTTGCTTTACAGACCTTTGAAGGTTGTCAATATGAGGACCCGTTGCAAAATTACTTTTTCATCACTGTCATAACTGTCCAAGGCAGTCACTAAATGAAGATTATCTGTAATATCATATCCTAGACACACCATGCAGGAATTCACTCTATGTGGATGATTGTTAGATATCTCGGCTGCTGAAATTTTAATTTTGTACCTATATTTCTTCTATTTTTATTATATTCACCACCCAGTGCTGTTGTTGAGATGTTGACTATATAAATAGAGTGCATAAATAAAATAAGATAATATAATGTAAATGTGTTTATTTAAAGGTTCAACCCTTCTTTTCCTTTCTTAAAGAGATAGATGAGAGATGAAGTCAAATCTTTACATGCTTTAAACTGTAACACCCACTTTTAACATCAAAAATTAAAGTGCAAATGTTGAGTGTTGAAGGAGGTAAATTACAGAGCTGCCCAGCTTTTGGGAAAACCAGCTGGTAATTTAGCTAACAAAAAGGAAAAAGAAGAAGAAAACTCTGAAAAGAGTTGAGACGTAAAGTTCCAAGTGTAGATTGCCAATTACAAAAAAATTCTACAGAAAATACTGTATTTTCTGGAACCCAGCCTGAAATGTGGAATGTAGGCTGTAAACGGAAAGCTCCATTTCTTATGTTCTACAGATATGATTTTTAAAAAAATCAATAGATTTAGCCCAACACAAGCCTGAAGCATGCTGTCCATTTCTGCATATATAAAGTTTTATGAAAAATATGTTTTCTCTTCTTCACTTCTTTGGGTTTCTTCCAGCTTTCTGAGGAGATTCCACTGAATTGGAGGCTGAGACTAAACCCCACTATTCCATGTCTCTGTCTAGAACATGGGTGTCAAACTTGCGGTGTCACATTGCCATTATGTGACGTATTGTGATGTTTTTTCCCTTCGCGGAGCCAGGGTGGATGTGGTCTGTAACAGTGGTGGGATTCAAAAATTTTTACTACCGGTTCTGTGGGCATGGCTTGATGGATGTGGCGTGGCTTGGTGGATGTGGCTTGGATGTGGCAGGGGAAAGTTACTGTAAAATCTCCATTCCCTCCCCACTCCAGGGGAAGAATACTGCAAAATCCCCATTTCCTCCTGATCAGTTGGGACTTGGGAGGCAGAGAATAGATGGGGGCAAGGCCAGTCAGAGGTGGCATTACTGGTTCTCCGAACTACTCAAAATTTCCGCTACCGGTTCTCCAGAACTGGTCAGAACCTGCTGAATACCACCTGTGGTCTGCACATGATGCATCTGGCTCGTGGGCCCCCCCTTGACACCCCTGGTCTAGAAGCTACTGCCTTTGGTTTAAAGCAGGCATCTCCAAAGCTGGAAACTTTAGGATTTGTGGACTTGGCTAGCTGAGGAATTCTGGGAGTTGAAGTCCACTAGTCTTAAAGTTGCCAAATTTGGACATCCTCGGTTTAAAGACCTTTTTTTTTGTCTCCAACAAAGTGAGGTACTGGTGACATAGATGTTCACTGTAGATGTGGGTGCTGCTACAGGTGCTGCTCACTGTGACCAGAGGAATCTCTCCCTCATGGGGATGTAGTATGTATGTATGTATGTATGTATGTATGTACGTATGTATGTATTAATTATGCCTATCCTACAAGGTGACTGTGGGCGGTTCTTGTAGTTATGCCTAAAATCTGGCAGGCACTGGAAAGTAAATTACATTCACAACAGGCCAGAGAGCAATTTGGATTTAAGTCCATATTGTTTCTCTTCAAATAAAATTGTCATCATGGCTGGCCTAGTGGTGCAGACAGTCACAAAATACCCATTGATGAGAAGGCAAACTGGTGAAGTTGCTCCCAACTGACATTGGATCTTTTTACCATTTGTCTTTTTCCTGGATGTTCCCAAATAGAGTACTCGCTTGCAGGAGTCCATCATTTTTATCTTTTTAAAAAGTCTCTGAAGCTGAGAGAAAATAAATGATGCTGGAAATGGCTATTTGGCATAATAGCATGCCAGCTCCTCATTTGATATAATTGAAAAAGATCCTTTTAAAAAATTATGGTTGGGCACAGAGCCAAGTAAGTACCAAGAAAAAAGTGCATGGGCATTTTGATGCCCCAGGCACCAAATCACTTACTGTAACAGATCCTAAGTACATTGTATTCCTATCAAATATGCAAGGAGAGAACAAACCCCTAAAATGTATACATAATTCAGATTAGGACATAATTCCTATACATCACAATTACTGTTTGCCTTCACATTGGATTTCGGAGGCTCCAGTCTACCAATAACGTGATGATATTCTAAAGGATTTGACAGTGTGATAAAATGAAACAGGTACAGTTCCCTAATGCAGAGGTGGGTTTCAGCAGGTTCTGACCTGTTCTGGAGAACCGATAGTAGAAATGTTGAGTAGTTCGGAGAACCGGTAGTAAAAATTCTGACTGGCCCCGCCCCCATCTATTCTCTGTCTCCCGAGTCCCATCTGATCGGGAGGAAACGGGGATTTTGCAGTAACCTTCCCCTGCCACGCCCACCAAGCCACGCCCACCAAGCCATGCCACGCCTACCAAACCACACCCACAGAACCAGTAGTAAATTTTTTTGAAAACCATCACTGCCTAATAGGTATCTATTTATAGAACGTAGAATAAACAGAGTTGGAGGTCTTCTAATCCAAACCCCTGCTCAAGCAGGAAACCATATATCATTTCAGACAAATGGTTGTCCATTCTCTTCTTGAAAATTTCCAGTGATAGGGCACCCATAACTTCTGAAGGCAAGCTGTTCTCGCTGTTAGAATATTTTTCTTAGTTCTAGGTTGCTTCTCTCCTGGATTAGTTTCCATCCATTGCTTCTTGTCCTGCCTTCAGGGGCTTTGGAGAATAGGTTGACTCCCTCTTCTTTGTGGCAGCCCCTGAGATATTGGAACACTGCTATCATGTCACTCCTAGACCTTTCTTTCATTAAACTAGACATACCCAATTCCTGCAACCGTTCTTCATATATTTTAGCTTTCAGTCTTCTAATAATCTTTGTTGTTCTTCTCTCCACTCTTTCTAGGCTCAACATCTTTTTTATATTGTGACAACCAAAACTGGATGCAAAATTTCAAATGTGATCTTACCAAGGTATTATAAAGTAACATTAGCATTTCACGTGATCTTGATTCTATCCCTCTGTTAATGCAGCCTGGGACTGCTTTGGCTTTTTTAGCAGCTGCAGCACACCGCTGGCTCATATTTAAGTGATGGCCCACTAGGACTCCAAGATCCCTCTTTCGTGAGTGATTCTTTAAAAGTATATCCTAGACATCTCCTCTTGCCTTTTCTGTCATAACCCTTGTTCACTTCTAGCCACCCTGGGAGAATTACTCTCTGTGCAAACAAAAGATTTAAAATTAGCATTTAACATCTGTTATTTCATCAGTAGTCAAAGCCATAGAAGATGAAAGAAAAACAAATCCTTTAAGTACATGAGTTGGTTCTTCATTCTTCCTGCCTAATAATGATTTTCTTGAATTCTTGCCATCATTCCTTCCATGGAGATGATGCATCATCAACATCCTCAATGCCTGTGTTGCTTGTCTGACTCCCCCCCCAAAACAGAAGTCCTCCCCTCCTTTTTCTTTCCTTCTTGCTGATACAAATGACTCCCGCAGTGAATGGGCGGCCCTGGACCACAAAATGGGACCTCAGAAAAAAAAAAGAATCAACTGTCATGAAGGGAAATGGCTGTGAAGAAAAGAACAGATTTTCAAAAGGTCAGCTGAACCCACAGAGCACTTACATGGTGGAAATTATAGCTTCAGTCTGTCTTACATGTGCAGGGCTAAAAGACTCCCTGAAGAAAAGACACAAAGCAATGGCATAATACAGCTTTTAAAACATTACAAAAAAAAAAAAAATCTCGTATTCTTCTTTAAAAAAAACAAAAAAACCCCTTCCTCTTTTCCTTCAGTCCTACAATAGCCTTCCCCAATCTTCAGTTGTATTTGCTTGAAACTGGAGCAGGCAAACTTTTTCCACACAAGAAACATACTTTTTAAAAGCTTAGATTGCTCCAACGGCTGCAGACATGGAGCTGTGGACCATAAGTCCATTCGGTGGCATTTGTCATGGGGAGAAGGGAGGTTAGGGATGATGGGAATTATAATCTAATCTCCTTCAAGGCAGATTACACTTTCCCAGTAAAGTGCGATGTGCATAAAATATTAATGGACATTTCACAAAATATGTACCCCAAAAATATCCCCAAAATAAGCCCTAGCATGGTTTTTAATGTGTGTGCCTGATGTAAGCCCTACCCTCAAAATAAGCCCTACTGAACAGCCTGCGCAGTTGCCTGCCCGCCCACCAACCAATTCCCTCTGGTGCCATAGCCATGAGGCAAAATGGGGTGGTGGTGGAGCTGCCTACATGCCTTGCCCTGGCTTCTCTCAGGGCCCCCACAGCCAGGCCATCCACACCTCAACACCTGCGTTGCAATGGCAGCCATATGCAGCAGGAGGCCACATGGCCACCAGCCCACTTCTGCTTGCTAATAGCTGCAACAGAGCAGGAGGCTGAGTGGTGTGTGCTGGTGCCATGGCCGCAAGGTGAGGCAGGTGTCGGGGCATGGATGCCCTGAGGTAAGCCAATGTGGGGCGTGTGGGGGTAGTTCTACCCGCCTTGCCTCATGGCTGTGGCACCGGTGCATTGCTCCCCCCTCCTGCTCCATTGCGGTCATGAGCAAGTAGAAAAAGTGGACCAGGGGCCACACGGGGTCCTGCTGGATGGGGCTGCTGGTGCCATGGCCGTGAGGCGAAGGAGATGTTGGGGCATGGGTGGCCTGGCTGCAGGGGTCCTGAGGTAAGCTGGTGTGGAGCATGTGGGGCAGCTCCATCCTCTTGTGACGGCGCTGCTGGTGTGCCCTGCGGCCTGCTCTGCTGCAAGCAAGCAGAAGAAGTGGGCCTTCTGTACATGAAAAAAGAATAAGATATTCCCCGAAAATAAGCCGTAGTGCTTATTTTGGGACCCAAAAGAAAATTGGGGAAACACCAGGGTTTCAGCAGGTTCTGACCAGTTCTGGAGAACCAGTAGCGGAAATTTTGAGTAGTTCGGAGAACCGTTAGTAAAAATTCTGACTGGCCCCACCCCCATCTATTCTCTGCCTCCCAAGTCCCAGCTGATCGGGAGGAAATGGGGATTTTGCAGTAACCTTCCCCTGGAGTGGGAAGGGAAATTGAATTGAATTGCATTGCATTGAATTGTCAATGTTTTCTTTTTATTAACCCTTTTCTCTGAGCAGTAGTACCCTGATTGGAAAGATTCAGAATAGATATGTAATACAACAAAAGTGTAAATATCCCTGAGAGCTTCACCCCATAGGTTTTGAAGGGAGAGTTTCAAAAAGCTCATGGTTTCCTCTCCTACCTATCTCTCTGGATCTCTCTCTGCTTAACATTCCACTTGTGACAGACATGGTTTGAACACTTTTATTATTTCTTTTTTTAACAACAGAATCCCAGATGTCAAAACTATTTGCTTTCACTATAGCACTAGTATTTAGACTTACTGTAGATATCACTCCAGAGTGCTTTACATCACTCAGATTTACAATATCAGCGTATTGCCCCCAACAATGTAGTTCCTCATTTTACCGACCTCGGAAGGATGGAAGGCTGAGTCAACCTTGAATCGGTTAAGATCAAACTCCTGACGGTGGGTAGAGTCAACCTGCAGTACTGCATTCTAACCACTGCACCATCACGGCTATGCTGAAATTAGACATATATTTTCTCTTGCTTCTCTTTCCATGTTTAGAATAGAAGCAAAACTTACTGGTGTATGTACAGAAGTTGGTATTTTTTTTTTTATAAAGGAAAGGAAAAGCTGATATTTGAGGATAACACCAATTCTGAGGATAGAAAGAGGCGAGGAAATTTTTTTTTTTTTTGGTAATGTCTGAACTATTGTTCTCGGGAGACCATTCTTTGACATCTTAATTTGTCTGAATTAATGCTTCTATTACATATTACATACCAAATGATAATATCTTTTGGAATTATTGTTAAGACAAGGCAACTGGGATATCTGAAGTATGCTGATATTTCAAAATCCAACACTTTTGCAAACTTTTTCCCCCCCAAGCAATACCACTTAGCAATAGAAGTTATACTTACATACTGCTTCATAGTGCTTTACAGCACTCTCTGAGAAGTTTACTATGTTACCATATTGCCCTTAATAATCTGGGTCCTCATTTTACCAATCTTGGAAGGACGGAAGGCCGTCAGGATTGAATTCCTGGCAGTGGATTGAATTAGCTTGCAATACTGCATTCTAACCACTGCAGTATCACAGTTCAAGTAACCATGCATTCAGTGGAATCAACAGGAAGGAAATAGGGTAAAAGTGAGCAGCACAGATATGTAGTCCTAGTACATCTTGTGCTGAACTTCTTACCCTTATGAATAGGATACTGTAGATTGCTCTGCAATAAAATAATTAACAGAATTTATATAGATATCAGACTATAGTTGGGCAAGAAGAATACCCAGAAACAACTACACAATTAGAAATAACGTCTGGAGAAAATGGAACATTTCTGGAATGAACCAGATTAAGAAGATCTTTACTAGTACCTTAATTTAGACAAGCGGGAAGTCCTGAAAAAGTAGTTTAAAAATATTAACAGCTTCCCTTATTATTCAAGGCAAGCATAGCTTTGCTTAGCTGAGTTTATGTGTGCCTCGTTCTGTGCTTATATATATGTGTTGATGCAACTTACTTGTCAAGGGAAAAATATTATATAGAATTGAAGAAGTTCCATCATATTTAAGAATGGGGAGAAATTGAAGAAAGGTTTATTATTTTAAAAGATCAATAGCTTAGGCAGCAAATTGCCCCCCTAGCTTATTTTTTCAGCTTTGCTTGAAATACTGTTGAAACTCATTTAGATCTACTGAAAAATTCCATTTAGAAACTATTTCTAGTCTTGTTGCTTTTCTCTGCCCTTTGCTGCCCTCCAACACTTTCTCCTATTTAATGTGTCTCCTTGGTGATAGACAGAAATGCTTCTGCTGTAGAGCTAGGCAATACGAGGTGAATAAACTCTCTAAGCAAGGAGCAAGGAACAAGATCCCACTGCTAACCTTAACCTTAACTGAATATAAGGAGAAGGTTTCATGGAAAGTCTTCTCGGTTTTCAAGTTCTTCTGAAAGCTATTGGTTGATTTGAGTTGTTGAAATATTTGAGTTACGTACATTTGGAATTTACATTTTCTTTGAAAACTGAGAAAACGGGGGCTGCTTGTTCCATTCTTACTCAATTCAGCCTATATTGCATTGAACTCCATTAAGAATTCAGAAATCCATTGTAATTGTCAGGGTAATGATTTAAGAGCTGACCAGCTGCTACAATGATGCACTGATGCACTGATGTAATGATGAGAATGAGTCAGCAAGTTTTTTGGCTGTTATCCCTTTAAGAGCCTGTATAATAAGTAGAGGCCCTGTTAGGGTGTCTTTCTCTCTTGCCGTGTGTTTTTCCCTGCTGTAATTTACTGATTGTTTCACTCCTGCCTATAGTATGTGTATGTATAGTATATATTCTTTTGTAGATAAAAACCACTATTTCTTACCTCTGTTTGCTGTTATTGCTCTTGGGTTGTCTCACGTAGTGAAGCTGTGCACACTCTGATAGTAATACAGGTAGTCCTTGACTTATAACAGTTTGTTTAGTGACTGTTCAAAGTTACAATGACACAGAAAAAGTGACTCATGAACTGCCGACCTTTCTGATCGACAAGCTTAGTGTCTTAGCCACAGAGCCACCTAGTCAGGTGTACAAGCAGAATGCATAGCAGGAAGACTAACCAATAGCCTTTCATAAGAAAGCAATTGAGAATTAATTGCAAGACATTACAGTTTCAGTCAAATTCACAGGTTTCTTTAAAGCTGTTTCTCCATCACATAATACAGACTGAAAAACCACATTTACGTATCTACTTCCATCCTATGATATGTGTTGCTTTCCGAAGTGTGGATTCCAAGCCATCTGGGAATATATTTCCCCAGAAATCATACCAGTGTATTTGCATAAACCCTGTTCTAGCTTAATACATATAAAATGTACCTGTTGGCTTCATACACTGTTATTATTTCTTCAACCAAATCAACCATTCAAATGGACCAGAATTTTAGGTTGCACTTACCTTTCTACCCTTATTTAAATAAATTTGATAACTTCTGCAGACTTCCTGCAGACACGTAAGGACTTACATAAGGAGTTCTAGGACATACAATCCCAGCTTCCCTATGTATTCCTATTTTTTGTTCAAGCATCACATCTGGAAAGGGTGACACTGTATGGATGCTTATCTTAAAAAGCACATGATTTGTAAAGATTTTTTAATGTCTTTTTTGATTTGTGAGGCTTGTAAAACATCTCAGCGAATTCATTCCAACTCAGTTATTCTCATGGAATTAGGCTCATAAAGTTTAGCACAATAACATGATGCATCAAATATCTTGTCAGTTTGAAATGAAGAGGAACAATTAGCTTTGAAAATTGAAAAGAGGTTGTTTCTACAGCAGACTGAGTTAAGTCCATTTATGGAGATACTGGAGATCATAATTCCTTAAGAATAAAAATGTATTAGTGCTATTTTTTCCTTTACAAGCAATAACATTCCTGTGTTTTTCTTTTTCTTTGCAAGCTGTAAATTCTCAGTTTCCTTTGAGTGTTTGATAAGAAGATAATTTTGTAGTCTAAGGATCAAAGCCAGAAACATCCAACTTCAAAATGAAGAGAGAGAGAGAGAGAGAGAGAGAGAGAGAGAGAGAGACTTTTCAAACCATTTTGAGATATCAACTTTAAAAACAAAACAGATTTTGCAAATCGCAAAGGTGCTTTTTAAAAGACTTTCTTATTTTTTTCCTTGTTTTGCTTTCATCCAAGAAGCAAATACTTCAGAACTGAAAAAATTTCTTGGATGAGAAGTGAAACATTTTTAACCATGATCTGGATGATTGATTTTGCAAAATCTCCATAGATTTTGCAAAATTCAAATGTAGCTTAATGCAGCTTAAATCCAATAGATTATTTTTTGAAACATAATATGAATGAATTTAAATTTACCCAATACAGTCCCAGGTTTTTAACTGGACACATGGTCTACAGATCATATTATATTTCATATACATTTTAAAAGCATTCTTAAGCAAGTCAGTCTTACTTAGACTTGCTTATTCTTTTCCCATGAAAAGTGCCCCATTTTTCAAACCAAAGTAATTTTGAAAGCAGACTATACCCTGAAAGCTTATCCCTTAAGCAGAACTACCGTATTTTTCGGAGTATAAGATGCACTGGAGTATAAGATGCACCTACCTTTTTTGGTGAGGAAAAGAAGAAAAAGAAATCTCCCTCTGCCTCTGAGCAATTTTGCCTTCTTACAGCAAACAGCCTGCTTTACTTTCATTTTAGTTTTCAGCATAGCTTGATTAGCACAAGGAAAAAAAAATCTGCTCCAGCAATTTACCTCCTTGCAGCAAGCAGCAGAGCCCTGGCAAAACAGCTGAGAGCAAATCAGCTGAGAGTCCAGAGGCTGATCCAATCAACTTGTGCTAATTAGGCTGTGCTGAAGCTGAAAGGAGCTGTTTTTTCTTGCCGTTTGCTTGCCAGGAGGTAACTGCTGCGAGGCAGAGGCCAAAGGGTGGGGGCCAGTGGGTGGGCAGGGCTACATTCAGTGTATAAGATGCACCTAAATTTTCACCCCCTTTTAGGGGGGAAAAGGTGCATCTTATACTCCGAAAAATACGGTATTTACTAGTGAAGGATATGCTCTTCTTGGTAATGAGTGAGTAATCCAGACATCCTGTGGGACTGGTCAAAGATGGAGAAGGAGGCTGTTTAGCTGTGTAAACCCTTCTGCAAACAAATTTCAAATCGACATTGTAGCCCCTACTTTTGTACATTGCATTTTCTTGTATCAGTTAACGAAGATGACAATTCCTTACCAAAACTAAAATCACTACACTGCTGTGAACAACCTTGTTATTGAATACGCAATATAATTGGATTAGTTATCCGAGAGCAGTAAATTTCTCTGAAGAAGTACAGCCTACTTTTTAGAAGCAAAATAACTTTGCTTCTAAACTGACCAATAACCAAAGAGTTAGTGGTCAGTGGAAGACTTGTGACTACATTGGCAAGGTAACTGTAGAGAAGATGTATGAGGTATTCTGGGCCAGTTTACAATATATGGAATTCTGATTAAACCTGGTGTTCTGAATCAGTGGTGGGATTCAAATTTTTTTACTACCGGTTCTGTGGTTTGGTGGGCGTGGCTCGGCTTGGTGGGCGTAGCTTGGTAGGCATGGCAGGGGAAGGTTACTGCAAAATCCCCATTTCCTCCCGATCAGCTGGGACTCGGTAGGCAGAGAATAGTTGGGGGCAGGGCCAGTCAGAATATTTACCGGTTCTCCGAACTACTCAAAATTTCCACTACCAGTTCTCCAGAACTGGTCAGAACCTGCTGAATACCACCACTGTTCTGAATATCTGGGATGTAGCCTAACATGGATCATAGCTTAAGTCTTATAGTCTTTGATGCTGCAAAATTCAGACTACAGTCTAGTAATGATTTTAATTATAGTTTAGGAGTACAAGGTTAGCTTTTACTTATTACGCACTGAGAATCTTTGAGGATGTAAATAGGAAAAGAAATATTGCAGTACTAAGAAACATTAGCACAACTTTAATCAAAAGACTAATCCCAGGAAAAGTAGACCCATCTTTTGAGAAGTCTATCTTTAACGATGGAAAAAGTCAATGAAATTCTGCACTTAGTTTGTTCTCATTTTTTAAAAAACAGTTCTTGGGAATGTGCATTAAAATTTCAATCACATGGTAAACAACAACAAAATATTAAAAAAATATAACTAGTATTCTCCCCTGTTGCCAGGTTCCTCTGCCCCACTAAATTTAATTAAATTAATTAATTAATTAATTAATTCCACCTACTTCTTTACCACTTAATCATACAATCAATTTATCTACTTTAAAACACTTCTTCTAGCATCTGACTTCCTGGCTTTTTTTGCCTCCCATCCCTATAAAACAAATATTAAAAAATACAGTATACAAACTCCCACCCACCTCATTTAATTTCCTCCTTTGCTTTAACTCTTGACTTTTCTTCTCACTCCAAAAATAACATGAAAAATGAAAATCCCAATCCTTCCTTATCAACAACAACTCCTACTCAGTTTATTTTCAATAAAATGCTTGCTCCACCCTGCCTCCTCAAAGATTGATTGACAGTAAAAAAAAAAAAAAGCTTCTTGTAGTGGACTGTATGAATGCCCTTGTTAAGCAAGGGGGAAGAGATGGTGCCTAGGAAACAATCAGACAAGAGAAGATCAAGCAGTTATAGATGGCAGCAGGAAGTTTGTACATTCAGATTTGCAAAATCCTGTTAATGTAGCCTTTTAATAAAGTAGAATTGACTCATCTACTTGTGTTTCCTGTCTGGGTTACTTGGGAGGGCTGACACTTTTACCAGTGCCTTGTTTCCTGGTTTATATGCCCCTCCCCCAATCTGAAAGGCAAATAAAAACTGAATTCTTACTTTCCTCCTTTTGTTTCCCCCATCCAAAAATAAGGAATATTTTCTCAATTTGCCTAGCAAAACAGACAAAAAAACCCCACAAATATCCTAATAGCTTCAAGAAGAAAGAAGAAAAGTTAACAAACCGAGTTGCCTTTCCTGCTCCAGAGCAAAATCCTGTCTCAAAGCAGAACCAAGAATCACCTGCCTCCAGGCAAATCAAAAAGTTTGCTGTAGCAGGACCCAATCAGGGCTCAGCTGCGGTTTAACCAATCAGAACCCAGGCCAAACAAATGGAACAATGGACCAATCAGGAACCAAGACCACCCAAAACCTCCAATCAAGATCAGAAAGAGCCAATCAGAGACCAGCCTTCACCAATTGGAAACCAGTCTGCTCACCTGGCTATAAAGGTAGGAGCCCAAGCAGTCCCTGCTCAATTGCCTCAATTATAGGATCCAATCTGGACTGAGCTGCAGTGGCACAGTGGTTAGAATGCAATACTGCAGGCTACTTCTGCTGACTGCTGGCTGCCTGCAATTTGGCAGTTCAAATCACACCAGGCTCAAGATTGACTAAGCCCTCCAACCTTCCCAAGTCAGATTGTTGGGGGCAATATGCTGACTCTGTAAACCGCTTAGAGAGGGCAGTAAAGCACTGTGAAGTGGTAGATAAGTCTAAATGCTATTGCTATTGCTATTGGTCAGAGGTTTGTCTTCTGAGTTTTTGGACTCATGCTGGAGCCCATCTTCAGGGAATTCACAACTGCCAGTGAAATGTCACGAAATGTGTTCTCTAGATTAGGGGTCTCCAACCCCTGATCCGTGGACTGGCTCCAGTCTGTGGCATGCCAGCAACCAGTCCGTGCAAACAAGTGAAGCCCCATCCATGGGATGCAGGCAGCACACAAAACCATGTCCCCTCCGGTCCATGGAAAAACCTTTCTCCACAGAACCGATCCCTGGTGCCCAAAAGGTTGGGGGCCACTGATCTAGATCATGGTCACTGAATTCTATAGCACAATATTACCCAAATAATACTGGCCATGAAAGTCTATACCAAACACCCTCCATGATCTGCTGATTGATTGACTTTAAAATGCCTCCTTTAGAGTAGGCACCCTCCTTCATGGGCAGGGGTGGGATTCTACCGGTTCGGACCAGTTCGGGCGAACCAGTAGCTCTGACAATCACCTGGGAGCGAACCGGTTCGCCCTGACATTCAGATGAGCCCACCCACACTATTTTCTGACCTTTATCTTCTCAGCTGATTCGCGCGGCAGAGCAGATTGCTGCATGAATCAGCTGTGTTATTCCTCTGAAGAAACCAGGAAGTGAAGATTTTTTGAAACTGCGCATGCGCGCGCAGCGATCACCACACCGGTTGTTAAACTGGGAGGATCCCACCACTGTTCATGGGTGCCTGTTTCTTCAACTCTGGTGGTGCAGAGACCATCCTTTAAACTGATTTTAAAAAATCTCTAGCAACCCAGAAATGAGGAAAAGGAAGCAGTCACCAATGGGCTATTAAGTAAAAATATAATAAACAGAACAACTAGAGGACCTATTAAGTTAATTGTGAGAAGAGCTTCTCATGGTCCAGCTTAGGTGCCCTGATCTTGTTTGGTAGCATTTCAAGACCTTCAAGGTGATGCTCCAATTACACTAAATCATGACCCAAACATGCTCTGGCAACATTTTCCCCCCTCCCCCTGCTTTTTCTTTTGTTCCCAAGGACTGAGTCAGACTTAAATTTTCTTCAGCTGTACTTCTTTCACACTAGCATTTCCCCTTCTTCTGAGTCTATTCATTGGCATATACATTTGATTGATTGGTTAATTAAAGGGGCACTTTGAGTTGTCACTTGTTACCTTGGAGAGAAATCAGGTGATTCACAGTGACTAGAGGCAGGAACAACTTGGCAATGAGGACAAAAATGATTCCAGTTTAGTTTTCTGCCAGCTCAATTACAGGTGGATAGCAGTTGTGGGGAAAGGCCCTTTTCTCATTCGTTATTTCAGGGGATGTCAAGTCACTGGAACAGAGTCAAGGGAAACTGGCAACAAAGACAGAAGATTTCAGAGTTATCTGCTAGTTCAAGGATGAATAGATGTATCAGATTTGGGCTGCAAAAAATCAGATGATCGAAATAATTTAGATAATCTCTGCCTTGTTGTTGTCATCTAATACAGGGGTCACCAACCTTTCGGACCTCAGGACCACTAAATTCATAATTGTAAATCCCGCGGACCACTAATACGAATTTTTAAAAATTTAAATAGTATTTAGTGCAATATAAAAAATGCAAATAAATTTTCTCATGGACCACCAGTGGTCCATAGACCACCAGTTGGTGACTGCTGATCTAATAGACCTCTAAATTTTTGAAACCTAGAATTTGTAGTCCTAAATGGATGGATTGCACTTCAATGCAGTGGTGAAGAATCCATACAATCATGTCTTAAACCAAGTTTTCTTCAGGATAGCAGGTTCGTTTGAAAGATTCCATAGTGGGCAGAAGCCTATGAGGTGTTTTTCACGCTTCTGAAAATCTTTTGTGAAAGTGTGGGTGAAGATAACAGCTACTTCCCAGCTGCATATCAGCTCAAAGAAATCCTCTGGGCCAACCACATTTAATAGCACAATTTCTTATTTATTTATTTAAAACCCTCTCTTTAGAATTTTTTAAAAATAAACAACATATAGGCTAACTTAACATATCCGATACCCCTTTCTATTTTCCTCATAACAACAACCCTGTGAAGTAAGTTGGGTTGAGAGAGAGTAACTGGCCCAAAATCACCCAGTTGGCTTTCATGCTTAAAATGGGATTAGAACTCATGGCCTCCTGGTTTCTAGCTTGGTACCTTAACTACTAGACCAAACTGGCTCTTATTTCAATATACATTATAAACATTATCTCCTTCCCTAAATCTGAAGAAGTATACTGTTTAATCAGAATGAATGCCCCAGTGTACAATGAATCTCAAATTCTGTTCCTCCAAATATATTTTGTAGTTTGGCACTGTCCAAATATATAGAAATTAGAAACCTAAGATTATTGTGAAAGATTGTGAAAGAGAAGAGAATTGTAGTCCCAATATTTTGGAGCATAGCAGGATAGAAGAGCTTGAAACATTCCAGATGTGTAAGGTTTGCTACTCCCAAAATTCTAGCCAAGGAAAGAGTCCCAAAGGATCTTTCTCTGCTAGCCATTGCAGACTATAGGGGGCAGCACACGTATCTATTTCAAGGCCATGAGCCAGCGCTGTCTGAAGATGTTTCTGCAGTCATGTGGCCAGCATGACATAATGGAGCACTGTTTCTCTCTCCACTGAAGTGATGCCTACTTATCTATTCGCATTTGCATGCTTTTGAACTGCTAGGTGGACAGGAGCTAGGTGAAGATGGGTGCTCACCAGAGGTGGGATTCAGTTGGTTCTCTCTGGATCAGGCAAACTGGTACCAGTGACTGTGGGAGGCTCTGCCCACCCACCCAGATGTAATGCATGAGCACTAAGCATGCGTAGAAGGCTGTGCGCATGCACAGGGGCGGCACGAGTGCTCACATTTGCGAACCAGTAGGAAAAGTAACTGAATCCCACCTCTGGCACTCACCCTGTTGCGCGATGCTTGGGTCTCAAACCTGAGCTGTTGGCTTTCTAGCTGACAAGCCTAGCATCTTTACACCGAGCCATTGTGCCTCCTATATAAGCATGCCATCTTGAAATTCTGGCAGAGCTGCTAGGGTGATACTGATTATTCTAAATGCGGTATTATTTGTTTTTGTGGAATCCCTACGTCCCTCTTTTAAAGAGTTTATAGGAAAAAGACTGGATCTTAGAGAATGATGCTTAATTGAAACTGAAAAGGCTCCATTGCTCTTACAAAATTGCCTACTTCGGTGCATATTTAATTTACATCCCTTGAGAAGCATTGAACAGGCTGAATTTGTCTCCTGCAATACCTTTGCCAACAACACTGTTACAGAATATGATCTTTTTTTTTCTTTCTCTTTTCTTTCTTTCAGTTTTTAATTAAAAATTGGAAATCTATATAGATAGTAAATATCTGGCACGGCTTGGTCCACGGAGTCCCTTAAGTAATATTATCTTGTATTTTATACTATTTATCATTGAAAGATAATGTCCTTTTGACTTCTAATACTCCAGGACTTGATGCTTATTTGCTAAATATTACAGTTATCACTCCTTGTTTTAATAGAAACGGACGAAGAGGAGAGGATTGGGGGAAAGGAAGGGGAAGGAGAGAAGGGAAAGGAGAGAAGGACAGAAGAAAGTAGAAAAGAACAGAAGAAGGGAGGGAAGGGAAAGAGGGGCGAAGGAGAGGAAGGGTTGTTGTGAAATAAGGAAGATATGGAATGGTAGAAGAGCAACCCCGAGTATACTTTAAATTTTTAGGAGGAAGATTGAACAAATATGAAAATCAAAAGATAAGATGTATGATTAATAATGACTAAGTGATTGTACATTTATGTATGTTTATGAGAAATAAAAAAAACATTTTTTTAAAAAAGAAACTTTTTTGCTTTCACAATTACTCACAAGTATGATATACCTGGCTTTTTTATCCTTATGAATGTTCAGTTTTTTAATATTTGCACTATTTGGCTTTTAAAAAAATCTCTTGGAAATTTTATGTGTGCAATAGATGTCCCTATGA